TATTTTCAAGCCTATTGTGATTCAATTCTATCCTATTCTATTCTATTCTATCATTAAAACTTGCTGATCAAGAGCCAGTAAATTGCCTACTAGTGGATAATAATGTGTGATGTGAAGACCAGGTGATGAACCAACCGATTGCCTGGCAGATGAAGAACTTGACTAAGTTTGGAGACTATTTAGTAGTGGGAATAGTAATAACTTTGGATTTAGCATCTTTGAGTTAAGACCTGGTCCCTGTGAGATATTAGCATAATAGCACCAGATTGCTAAGTAACCTCTTCCAAATGTGGCTTTCTCATGCACAATGACCATAATGATCTTTAGCTTATTATTTTTGTTGGAAGATCATCAATTACCTAGTATCTTCTAGCATCTCCCTTGGCACAGATACTCACTGGATGGGCAGTAATGGTGGTGGTGGTGGTGTGGTGATTATGATGATGATGATGATGATGATGATGATGATGATGATGATGATGATGATAATGATGATGATGATGATTATGTAAAGATATAACATACTGCTTGGCCTGTTATAAGAATTGAGAATTTAGGCTCCAGTGGAGAGGAAGGGGCTTTGGGGCCGCCATACCACTGCTCTCAGCACAGAGGTAGCGGCTTACTGGCTGTCATACCACCACTCCCAGTACAGAGGAAGGGGCTTATGGTTGCTGTACCACAGCTCCCAGCACAGAGGAGATGAGCTGTGTGGGCACCAACAGGACACATCTCCCCCTGCTGTTCCTCCCTGTCCAAATGAGATGACACATAGACAAGTCTCAAAACCAGACTTCCAGATCACCTACAGTGACCCCAAAGGGAAATGAGATGGAACAATCTGATACTCAACCACCTGGACTCCTTGAACTGGCAACAAAAGAGGATCTGGAAAAATGAAATCAGAAATAATTTCTCAGATAACAGCAGAGATTGTGCTCATAGTGCAAGACATGATTAATAAATCTAGAGGGGAGGTGAGGAACATGATGAAATCCTAACATAGGAAAAAAATGGAATCCATAAAACAGAGGCAAACAGATTTCCAGGAGATTAAAAACTCCACGGAATGTTGACACAGCAGAATGAGCCAATGTGAGGACAGAATTTCATATATAGAAGATAAGATTACAATTAGTGACTAGGAAAAGAAAAATTGCTTCAAAATTGTAAGGGGCCACAAGAAATCAATCCAGCAGCTGCTAGAGAATGCAAAGAAGAATAACATAAGACTGATTGGAGTCAACAAAGAAATAGGAGAGAGTGCAGACAACATAAAAAAACTGTTCACAGAAGTGATGGCAGAAAACTTCCCAAGCAGGGGAAAAGAACTTGACATACAGATAA